TATAAGAATCTGGCTCGTCCCTAGCTCGGGGTCTTGCTTCATCCACCGGTCCTGCATGTCCGTGTGAGGAGCTTGACCCTGGCTAGCCAGCTCAATAAACTCTGCATGCTGATTGCATCCATGTCTGGTTCTTTACTATCCAACAGCGGGGCGATTTTGGACCCTAACACTGATATGCCACCAAACTAATTCTTAGAGTTCAAAGAAAACAAAAACTGCATGACAAACCTTTTGCTGACTCTACAGGAAAATTCAAAATTCTTAACATAAATTTTTTCTTAAAAAAAGACATTATATAACCAAAAATAAATCTTTCCTCTCAATCATTTATGAAACAAAACATTATTTCACCTGGTTTTTAAATCACAACAGTCAAAACAAGAGAGAACCCTGAGCAAACACTAGTACAAAATGCCGTTGAGTAATCTCAGCATAACCAACACTGGGCTGGAAAGAACAGACTGTTTTCAAGTGAAAACTCTGCTTGACACTAAATATAATAAAGTGCCAGCCTTGCATTTAGAGGCTAATGACCCCACCACCACCACACCACCCAACCTTTGACACTATGGCTCCACTGGCTAACCTTCCCCCTTCAAGTGCTAGGATCTCAGACCAGTGCCAGTTTGTGTCTCCACTTCCCATTCAGCTCCCTGCTTGTGGCCTGGGAAAGCAGTGGAGGACGGCCCAAAGTCTTGGGACCCTGCACCCAGATGGGGGGCCCAGAAGAGCTGCCTGCCTCTTGGCTTCAGATAGGCTCAGCTCTGACCACTGCAGATATTTGGGGAGAGTACCCGCAGTTGGAAGAGCTTTCTCTATGGATCATCGTCTCTGCACAAAATCTGATCTACCTTTCCAATAAAGATAAACAGATCTTTAAAGCAAACAAGAAAAGCCACAAATGGGAATGGAGACCAATACAGTAGAAGAAGCTAGATTTACATCTCCATTTCCATGTAACTGGAAAGACACTCACTCACTCTCATTCAATGGAAATCATGTACCACTTCACCAGAACCAACACTTAACTTATTATACTTAGCAGACACTGTGTTACTAACACTGAGCAACCAGAGCAACAAGTTTATGTCAGCTTTACCAAGCAATAATCTTTAGAAAAACTTAGCTCCATGAATAAAGGGATAATTAATTCCTATGTGCAGGGGCAACTTAGAAGCAGTTCTACCCTAAACATGCTCTACATACCACGTTGGCTCTGTCCATAATCCACACAGCAATGCTATCTCTCTTTCTATCAAGGACATGTTATAAAATTTTAAAATGTGCCTAAGTGGCTAGTAAGCATAGGTCACTCATAACAATAAATTTCAACAGGCTAGTTACCAGTTGGTTTATTGGGGGGGGACAGGCAGAAAAAGACACCAGCCTGCTGTCTTCAGATTTTTCCCTGCCTCTGCATTGGGAGCATGCAGGCTGCTAGAACAACTCACCAAAAGAACTTCGATCTCATGTCCACTCTGCTTCTTATATAGTTCTTACCAGCTTAAGTGAGATTCAAAAACAGGTTGTAAACACACCTAAACGTTTGAAGGAAACACTGGCTGAGCACAGAAGTACCTCTTGTCAAAAACTTTCAGAGTTCTCCTGTTTATACCAACACTTTCCTATAACATATGCAGCTGAGGAAACAGCCCACTGCAAGTTCAGGGGCTCCCGCCAACACTGAGGAACTGTGAATCTGCAAGTTAGTCAAGGGCTCTATTAATAATCAAAAACATAGTAAATCCAGGGGGCATACAAACAGAACTGAAAGGAAATGGGAGGGAGAGGGAGAGAAAAGAGGAGAGAAAAAAAGAAAGCGGGAAGGAGGGAAAGAGAAAGAACAAAGGCAAAGAAAGAAAACTCAAATAAGAAGAATTGTCAAAACAATTATTTTAGGGCCCAGTATGATGGATCAGTGGCTAAAAAACATCTCACTGCATGTACTGGAATCCCACATGGGCACCAGTTTGTGTCCTGGCAGCCCCGCTTCCCATCCAGCTCCCTCCTCAAGGCATGGGACAGCAGCAGAGAACAGTCCAAAGCCTTGGGACCCTGTATCCATGAGATCTGGAAGAAGCTCCTGGCTCCTGGCTTCAGATTGACTCAGCTCCAGCAGTTGGGGCCACCTGAGGCATGAACCAGCAGATGGAAGATTTTCCTCTCTGTTTATCCTTCTGAGTAAAACTGCCTTTCCAATGAAAATAAATAAATTTTTAAAAAAATGTCGGGCCCGGCGCAGTGGCGCAAATGGTTAAGTCCTCGCCTTGCACGCCCAGGATCCCATATGGGCACCGATTCTAATCCCGGCAGCCCCGCTTCCCTTCCAGCTCGCTGCCTGTGGCCTGGGAAAGCAGTCGAGGACGGCCCAAAGCTTTAGGACCCTGTACCCGCGCAGGAGACCCGGAAGAGGCTCCTGGCTTCGGATCGGCATAGCATCGGCTGTTGCGCTCACTTGGGGAGTGAATCATCAGATGGAAGATCTTCCTCTCTGTCTCTCCTCTCTGTATATCCGCCTTTCCAATAAAAAAATAATAAAAATAAATCTTTAAAAAAAGATGTTAATAATTATTTTATCCATTCCCTAAAGAAAGGGTACACAATGTCTAAATCTTCTTTACATTTTCAACAATTAAGAAGCTGTAATTAAAGTGTTAATACATAATTCCATTACGAATTTATATATGCACTGTGCATGTTATAGAGAGAAACCATCCACAACCCCCCAGAAGTCCCATGTGGCACAATGTTTAAAAAGTTATCACAGGACTCAGAGGATATTACCTCCATTTCCAACCTGGCCTCTAATTGCTAATTTGCTGATACTTGGGTCACTAATTTAGCAATTCTATACTGTGCACAGCACACTAAGCTGCCAACAGCATCCCATAGCTGAGTGACACCCCACGTCTGAGCATCGGTCCCAGCTGCTCGGCTTCAGCTCCAGTGCCTGCTGATGCACCTGGACGGCAGCTAAAGATGGCCCAGCTGCAGGACTCCTGCATTGGACCTAGGCACTCCTGCTTCTGTTTGACCAACCCCAACACTGAAGGTCCTGAGAGAAGTCCAATAGCTAACTGACAGATGATCTTTCTCTCTCTTCCTCTGCCTTTCAAATAAACAAACCAAAAGTTTTAAACTCATATTACAATAAAGCTAGTGGAAGACAAATATCACTTACAAAACAGGTCAGGTGGGCTTGGCGCACAATCGGATCTGGGGCAAGCATTCACTAGTCATTGCTACTAGCTTCGGTCAGTCACGTAAGTAATCGCTGATCTATGAATCTCCAGGCCCACATTTTAAAGATTTATTTGGAGTTCATTTACATTATTCTGTTATCAGTTGATCTAATAACATTTTTAAAGATTATTTAATTTTCTGGAAAGACAGATCAGAAGGCGAGACAGAAAGATCTTCTATTTTCCATCTCCTCAAGTGGCCGCAATGGCCAGACCTGAGCCAATGGGGAGCCAGCAAGTCTGCCCCATGGATGCAGGGTCCCAAACTTTGGGCCACCCTCTGCTGCCCTCTCAGGCCATACACCGGGAGTTGAATGGGAAGTAGAGCAGCCAGGACATGAACCATTGCCCATACGGGAGACTGGCACTTGCAAGGTGAGAATTTCGCCATTGAGCCATTGTGCTGAGTCCTGTCGTTGTTTGTTACAAGCTATCAACACTACAGTATGGTGGACCTAAGGAAAAAGCACCAAGAACACTGGGTCTGAATCCTCTCCTTTACACGGGACTAGGGAAATCAAGTTTTACACACCTAAGGTTTCCTGCTTAAACATTCTTTTTCTCTCTTAATGTTTTTTAATATTTTCAGGAAATTTACATACATTTTTTAAAAAGCTTCTAAAACTACTGAGCACATCTTGCCACCAAAAATTTCTCTAAATATGGTAGAAACAACAAATCTACCTTCATTTAAAGTAATAACCATTACTGCGGAATACAAGTGAGCTGAAGAATAAATGCAACTATAAAAACATAGATTTCTGGGACTTAAGCACTGCCCCCAGAGTCTCAAAGGAAACACCAATGACTGAGAGCACTAAAAAAACCAGAAATTTAAAAAATCACTCTCCAGGTGCTCTACCGAAAACAGAAACAAGGTGCCCAGCAGCCAAGCCAGCCAAGCACGGTCAGAGACTGCAGACTGCATGTCAGGTGGGTGCAAACGTGCCGGATGGTGATTCCCAAACCATCCTGGAATCCCGCAAGGAAATACAACTAGTAAAACCCACGGGAGCCGAGAAGATCCTGGCGACATGTATGGGCGTTACATTTACTACATCGTCCTGCTGGGTTCTAGAGCAAAGAAGGGAAAATCATAAATGCTGAGATTAAAAACCTTAACTTCCTCAAAGAACACTAGAAACTACAATAAGAGCCAAAAATAAAAAAGAGAAAGAAAAGCACGCTGTATCACATCACATATTGGTACAGCAATCCTCGACAGCTGACGTACAAAAAAAAGAGAACAGAAAAACAAAGAACAAAACAGAAGCAGGAGTCGAGGTAGTTGAGGGCGCAGCCTGGTGACACAGGCACCGTAGCGGCTCTCTCAGTGTTCACCAAGGAGCGTCAGCAATGTCAAGGGGAAAACACCTCAGGACAAAGTCCAGCAATGGGTTAAAAGATACCAGTTTACACATAAAAGCTTTAATTATGTACACCTTACAACAGTACATACGAAACAAAAAAGCCAACATCAAGCAGAAAACATTTAGAAAGCCTTGCTTAAGCACGACGAAGAAACAGGAAATAAGCTAGAAAAAATAAAACTAAAACCATTCATTTCATAATCATTCTATTTTCAAATTATATACTCATCACTACATTTGTACTGAATATATATAATTCATCACATGAGAGCAAAATCTTCAAGCCTCTCCCTACCTTGGGTTTTTAGTCAAAATGAATGCAAAAAATCACGTGGGATTCAGCCAAGCAGTGACGTTAAATTCTGCTCTGTCAGAGAGAGCATCTGTCAAGCCCACATTTAAACTGCTGCCTGCCTGTGCAGCAGCTGAGGAACCTTGGACTCACAGAATGGACTAAAACCCCGAGACACTGCTCAGAGAAACCCTCCCTGCAGCTCCCAGACAAGAGCCGAAGGAGAGGCAAACCCACGCTTTCAACACCGTCCAAGCGCCGGATTCCAGCTCTGGCTGCTTTACATTGCAGCTCAGTGCTACCACCAGAAATATGGATACTGAGCAGAGAACACAGCACCGCATTGTCCAGCCGGGAAAACAGCAGATGTAAAAAGCCTCAATGCATCAACTGTCAGCAAGAGTCAACAGGGCTCCCGACACAAGGGACAACTACAGCTCTTTTGTTTAACAAAGGAGAGAGAAAATGAAAGAAAGGGAGAATCTCCGGAGACGAGTGCCCATATGAACACGCAGGGGAAGTGGGAGACGAGCAGACAGATGGACTCTGGAAAGCAATCGCGGGAGGCAGGCTGCTGGGGGATGTGCGCAGGTTCGACAGCAGCTTTCTGCTGAAGTGATGGCGTGCCAAAAGTCTTCAGTGGGCACGATCCTCTCCACATCAAAGGCTCGAGCAAGGAAGGTATGTCGCTCTGTCGTGTATGATCTGCATCTAAATGTGTCCCCTTTCTCTCGCCCCAGAGGCAGGAATACCTGATAAACAAGTTCAGACAGTTCACTGCCCTTGAAACTATGAGGGGGGTTTCTAAATATATGATCTTAAAATTTGTCATTGTTTAGAAGACAAGCTGTCACTGCTTTATTCAGCTAAACATGCAGCTTAGAGTAATTCTGGGTTATAGACATATGGGGGAAGGCAAATAATAATCTGATGTGTTTAAAGGGATTCTCTGAGAAATTAAAAATTTACTGACTTAACAAAAAACATAGCCAGCCTCTACCAAATCAGGTCAAACTGAATCCTTATCTATTAGATTTAAGTGCTCTCTTAAAAACGGCTATCAGGAGACAATGCAATGCAATTACATTAAACACTACCAAGAATGATCTACATATTAAGGATTTCTTTTATTCCAAACTCCTTTTAAAGCAAAATTTTATATTTGATCACTTTTCTTCCCTCCAATAATTACCTCCACAAGATAACAAAATAGCATAAGAGACCACCAACAAATTTGAAGTATTACCGAGCGACAAGATACGAAAAAGAAAGCATTAGCATAGACTCACATGAGCCACTGAGCTTATGCACAGCACGATACCAGGGTAGAGTCGCATTTTATTACAAGATCTTGGACATAACTTTAAACAAAAAAATATCAAGAACTGCTAAAAAAAATATATATCCTTTCCATTATCCTAAAAGATCACATCTGAATCTACTGATAACTCTAAAACTGAAATTCAACAATATGAAAATATTTTGTTACAAAATATCCACACTGCAGGCAAGACAAGATTAAACAACAAAGTATAAATGTAGCCACTGTGCTCGATGCCTTCACATGCCTGAGGAGCTGCTCCCACTGCCTGCAGGCACAGGACAGAGCTAAAGCAAATACATCTAAAATGCTATGTATCATGATCTTTATTTTACCTCAATTTCACATTACTCGACAGCCTACTATTTAATCATCACAAGCAGTGAGACAAGAAACATTACATTAACGCTGGTTGAGCCTTTCAGGCCCAACTGTATCTCAGTATCGATTCAAATCATCATCACGAGTTTGTATACTAGTGTAAACAAACAGTATTCTTGAAAAACAAAATATAGTTGGAAAATCTCGAGTCTCTCGGCACCTCCATCTCTCACTACTTAAAGTTCCTAAGCAGTTTTACGAGCTGCTCATCTCAAAATGAAGTTCAGAAGTTTTCTTTTAAAGCACCACTTGAATCTGCTGGAGATAAACACTTATAAAAACTGCACAAAAAACTCTGTCCACAAACTAGACATTGTATCACAGCGACCTTCTGAACTCAGTCACACCACATGAATACACATTAAATCTAAAATACTACCAGCTAAATAAGACAGCCAAAGCTATTTCTATTTTGAAAACATAAAAGCACAAAATTGCTTTGCATAACAGAACACTTTAAATTCCTTGTCTTGTTCTCATCTATCAAGAATTTAAATAAGTAATAACTGGAGAGGTATTTTATTGAGTAAAACAAGAACTGTAACTTCAATTATACTTCCTTTTGAACAGAAAACTTATGATAATCTATGAGAAACTTCACTAACAAATCCTTCAGGCTGGCCGAATGGCTGTTTGTCAATGGGAGGCAAATAAGAAGGTGAATGCCACAGCAGCTCACCATTTTACAAACATGGAACTATCACAAAATTTGAGTTCAGATATACCTTTACCACATACTGTTATAAAAGCATGAGAACAAAAATCCCGTTATGTGGCATTACAACACAAACAGCCTGCTGTTCTCCGTTAGCACCGAGATGCTCCAGAGCCACGTCCTCAGAGTTTTGAAAATTGTATTGCATTAAAAAATTAAAAATTGTTTGCATTAAAACAGTGTCACTTGTTACTACAGGATTAACTCCCCACTTCCCTTTGGTCTTCCATTTACCCATTCACTAAGATATCTAACTTTACACTTATTGCTTCTTGAGCCAGAGTTTGTACTAATTCAATACCACAAAGAGCAGACTTCAATCAGATATGTTTTTTACATGAACAGAATGCTGGCATACTTATGTAGCCTTGGAAATCTAAAAATAAATGTTTAAAAAATAACTTGTCTATTTGAAATTTATAAACATAATCCTACAATAATGCTGGTCTTACTATAAAATTAAAAGGGTATTCAGCACCATCTACTAAATACACAATCAGGAAACAAAAGCTTTTCCTTTCCTGATCTAATCAGAACAAGTATTGGCAATTATGGGGGAGGACAAAACTCCTGCCTTCTGACTCCAGAGGACTCGGCTCCCTCGGCTTCCTCTTGGTTCTTAGCAGAATTACAAATGTGTTCTGTTGGGGCAGTGAGCAGTGTGAGATTCAAGTTCATGTAAATAAATTCTAATATTAAGACAGTCATTTTTCAAATCCAAGGCTTAAACATCATTTGTATCTCTCAAAATGATCATTTTTTCCAGTGATAACTACTAGAACTTCTAGAAGTTCTCTGTAATTTCACAGATCAGAAATTATCAAATGCTGGTGCCTGGATGGTAACACTTAAGAAATTCACTCAAAATATCATCTACTTGCTCCTCCTAGTGGCTAGTACTAAAATCGCACTTTTGTTCATACACACCCAAAATTTAACTCTGTATTTTCAAAGTACTTCACAATATATAGATTTTTATCATACAATTTTCAAAACTCTGAAGATTTACATGTAAATGCTATTATTTTCCAAACATAATTAAATTTCATGGCAAGGCTAAGCAAATTTGTTACGAACCATCAATCAATATCATTGGTTAAGTAAACAGTGACAGTCACACATTTAGTAATGCCAAATACATACTCCTGTATTAAATTTCCAATTGGTTTCTTCTGCTTAAAAAAATATTTTCCACAGTAAAAATCTTAAAACTAAAGCTATATATTCATTGGTCTCCCTTTCCCAAAAGACGGTCTCTCTTTTTAACAACATTAAAACTTCAGCCATTCTCCTACCTCTAAAAGCCTTGCACCACGGCACAGAAAAACTAGAAACAAATGTGAGTCAAGTTTGTGCTGTAAGTTAGAAAGCTTGCTGTGAGATAGTACAAGAAATAGTTAATATGTCTCATAAACTCCCAAACACATTATTAAAATATGTATCTATGGCTCCAAGAGGTGTACTATTAGAAGACATAAAATTTTAACTGATCTTCTGCAAGAAAATAGCACAACTCAAAAATGTTTTAAAGTACATGTTGTGAACGTTAGTGATCTTAAATAGCTGGGTTAAACAGCTACCATCTGTTTTGCTGGAAACCCAGAAAGACTACTCAAGGTAGTTTTGGGTTTCATCTTAACACGGAGCCATACAGATATGTGACAGTGCTTTGCCAAAGCCATCGGTCATTAAAGACAACACTTATTCTGCTTTGAAGCCCATCTTAAGTCTAAGCAAAGGCAATAATCTCTCAAATACCTCATATTTAAGGACAAAGTTCAAATTAGGATGGAGTATTTGAATATGTCCGTCACTTATTACTGTCTAAACACCGAGCACTGAAGTTACTGAACCCTGAAAATCAGTTCTGACAGGTGCATCTTCTCATTGACTTTGTCAACACAGTAGGGGCCAATGGAAACATGCCAAGCAGTGTACTGTGAATACAGAACTCTGCTGTAATCAACCCTGCACCGTCTGTCCCACAACTCCCACAACTAACGCATGACCATTTTACAGAGGCCACAGACTGTGCACCGTACCACCAACGGCATGTCGAATCAATTCTAATTAAAGCCAATAAATTTTCTATCTGCTCCCAAGGGATTCTTAACTTGGCCTTTCTTGGAATTCTAGTAAGACCTACATCCATGTAACTTTTGAATTTTAAGTGTGGGTCAAAAACACCATTGACTAAAGCTGCTGAGACAATGAAGTAAATGGAGACAGTTATCCCACTCCTCCCTCCAACACGCTCACTGCGCTCAGCCCCATTCTCAGGCATGCCATGCTGCCAAAGGGAACCCAGTCCTGAGCCCAATGTCTGCGCTGCCAAATTTTTACATTTTAGGAAATTTCAATTTACTTAATTTTATTAACATCCAAGACTTTTAGACAGTTTTATAAGATTTGTGGTTTTGTAAACTTTTACAATGTGTCTTTATAGAATGACTGCGAGGGACACATGAGTGAACTAAAAATGATGACCAAAGAACAGCACTAACTCAGAAGAAGCCAGGCAACGCGCTGCCGCCTCCCCCCAGACCGGCCCTGGACTCTCACACCATGCTTCAGTGGCGGAGGAGACACTGCTGCTTTGCCAAGATGACCTGGAACGCCAAGAGGTCTCTGTTTCGCACCCATCTCGTCGGCGTGCTCTCCCTCGTGTGTCTGTTTGCTATGCTTCTGTTTTTCAGTCATCAAGACTGGCTGCCAGGCAGAGCTGGACTCAAAGAAAACCCTGTGACGTACACTCTCCGGGGATTTCGCTTCACAAAAAGCGAGACAAACCACAGCTCCCTTCGGAACATTTGGAAAGAAACAATCCCTCACACTCTGAGGCCTCAAACAGCAACCAACGCCAACAACACAGAGCTGGCACCACAAGAGGTCACAGGGCTCGAGAACACACTGAGTGCCAACGGAAGTGTTTATAATGAAAAGGGCACCAGATATTCAAATTCTTATCATTTCAAATATGTCATCAACGAACCGGAAAAGTGCCAAGAGAAAAGCCCCTTTTTAATACTGTTAATAGCAGCAGAACCTGGACAAATTGAAGCAAGAAGAGCTATTCGGCAAACGTGGGGCAATGAAAGTCTAGTACCTGGTATTAAAATCACACGCATTTTTTTATTGGGCTTAAGTATCAAGTCAAATGGCTACATTCAACGTGCAATACTGGAAGAAAGTAGAGAGTATCATGACATAATTCAACAGGAATACCTAGATACGTACTATAATTTGACCATTAAAACACTAATGGGAATGAACTGGGTTGCAACATACTGTCCACATACTCCGTACGTTATGAAAACTGACAGTGACATGTTTGTCAATACTGAGTATTTAATACACAAGTTACTAAAACCAGACTTGCCTCCTAGACACAACTATTTTACGGGTTACCTAATGCGAGGATATGCGCCCAACCGGAACAAGGACAGCAAATGGTACATGCCGCCAGAGCTGTACCCGAGTGAGCGCTACCCTGTCTTCTGCTCTGGAACTGGTTATGTTTTTTCTGGAGACCTGGCAGGAAGAAATAACCACATTGACCACAATTTACACCTACTTAATCAACATTAATATGTACTCATTATATTTCTCATACTTTCAAATTTAATAAAATACCCAGACCCCCCTCCCCCCATATTAATTTTACCATCCCTGTCTAGAATACTTAACCACCCCTCCATACCTACCCTCCTACACAACACCTATCCACCCTAACCCTCCCCTATCCATACACTAATCACATTCACCCACAATGCACCATCACCAATCACACCGCAGATCCATATCATCCACTTTTAATTCCTTCTCACCTTCCCCTTCCCCACCCCATCTCACAACCACCTATTTATCTCATACCCACTACTCATCAATCCTAACAACCCCCTACATCCACCCCCTTCCCAATAATAACTAACAAAAACAACCCAACCCTTCCACCCCCCCTAAAAATAAAAAACCCAACTTTTACACTTATCAACAAACACCTCTACCTAAACCAACCCCAACATATAAACACACTTAACCCCTATATTCCACACAACAACATTTAACTTTTCCAACAAACCCCCCCCCCACAAACCCCATCCCCCCTCTTCATCCACCCAACCATTAACCCTAATCCCCCAAACATACAATCCCCAACAAAACCCCCACCCAAAACAAAACTCCCCTACCCACCCCTCACCAACCAAAACCTCTTTCAATTTTCATTCAATACATAATTAAATGTAAATAAAACATTATCATCAGCTTCAAGGAAACTTTGTAACTGTGCAAAGGGCAAATCTGACCTGACTATTCTAGGGTTATAAACATTATATCCCATGCAATAAGATTGAGTTCCCAAAGTCATTCAGAAAGCTCAGATGTCTCATCAATGCAGGTTTCAACTATTTACTTTTTAAAACTAAGTACAAGACTCATTTCAACCTATTAACACATATATCAAGGAAAATTATTTTGATATAATGTGATAAAATGTGGAAAAAATTACTCTGTTCAGGCTCAAGTTGTTCTTTAAAAAGTTATTAAACATTTCAAAAACAGAAAAGTCTGTTTCCTCATTTGTAAAGTCATGCAAGTATTTCAGTAAATTATGCAATTCTATCACCCACTGCGCGTTTTCAGAGTACTACCATCTAATTACAAAACTATCGGACTTCAAATGTAGCTGTAAAAATAACCACATTCTTCCAACGGAAGCAAAAATTATCACTTAAAGACACAAAGAACTGCTGTTGAAAAAAAGATGGAGACTGCAGTGCCAGTCCCATTCAACACATGAAGATGCATGCCAGCCACAATGCGACACGTGGGAAGCCCACTTCCTGAGAGCAGGTGCTCACATGCCAGCACTTAACCATGCGAGTGCCAAGTTTACAAATCCGCATTTTTAGAATATCAACAGTTGACAATCTACATACCAATGAGTACCTGGGGGGGGGGGGGGATACAGGAAAACTATAAATGTTTCAACAACACTTGATTCAAGGCTGAAAAAGGTATACAATGCACTTTTACTGAGGCCGTAACTTGAAAAAGCAAAGAAAAAGACCTTTACTGAATGTTATGACATGGAATCTCACTCATGAGTTTTAGAAATGAATATTAACTGAACAACATTAAAATTATGGTTGCTTTCCTAAATGTATACGTCTTGTCTTGTTACATGTCAAATTTTAATCCTATAAAGTCATTTGTTTCGATCTAAAAGATAAATCATCCGAACAGCAACATATCTTCAGCTCAAAATCACAAAAAATCTGCTAGATTTTATTATTTGGTATGTTGAATCCTACACAATTTGATTTATCTCCCATTTTCAAATAAGTAGTCCACGTTCTATTCTATATAATTACAAATAGTTTTTAAAAAATTACCTTATATAATGCTGCCCAATTCTCAGTTCAAGTCTGCTTCACTTACTTTATTCTATATGATTACAAAATGACCAAACAACGATATAGTGGACAGTCACTAAGAGTTAGCATCTTCCACTGGAAAAAGTCAAACTTTAGAAAATCAATTATGGGCCTGGCGGCGTGGCCTAGTGGCTAAGGTCCTCACCTTGAACGCGCCAGGATCTCATATGGTCGCCGGTTCTAATCCCGGCAGCCCCACTTCCTCTCTATCTCTCCTCCTCTCTATGTATCTGACTTTGTAATAACAATAAAATAAATATTAAAAAGAAGAAGAAGAAAATCAATTATGAAAAACAGGATTCCTAAGACATTTAAACTTTTTCAATCTTAGCTATCACTTTAATGTCATATTTATATTCCTGATAATACAATCCTGAAACATGACAGTAATCCGATGATATTCTAAGTCCCTAAAAGGGACTAGACTGAACCACAGTTTAATATAGCCAAACATCTTTTCTAATCATAAATATTCTACCAATATTTTATTAAGGCGTACTAATATTTCACTAACTTATTAATCACAAATATTCTTCTAATTCATTGGCTTTTCCCTCTGAACAAATACAGAGGCTGATTTCTACAGCAAAAAGAGCTGCTGGTGCCAATGAAGATCCAAGCATCCCGCCAACTTAAAGCTGCCTTCTTCAGATGAAAATATAATTCTGTACTAAAAAACTAAAAAATAAACACTTTTTTGGGAAAAAGAGAGAAATGAGAAATCCATCTTCCTTCTACTGGTTCACTTCCCACATGCCCCTAACAGCACAGCGCCGGGCCAGGCTGCTCTTCCAGGTGAGTGGAGGGGCCTAGGCACTTGGAGCCACGACTTCAGCTTTGCAGAGCACGCAGCAGTGGGAAGCTGAAAGTGGCACCCACGCCAGCATTCAGACCCGGGGACTGAGACATGGGCTCTAACTGCAGTGCCAAACTCCCACCCTGAAAAGATATTTTTTAATAACAGCACTGCATTTGTGTTACCAAAGAAATTTACAAGAATTACATAAACTTCATGCTCCAAATATTAATGAAAATTTAAAAGATGAAAATAAAACAAAATCTCCAATGTTCACCACACTAGTTTATTATCATCAGAATTCGCTGTGATGGAATTACAACTCAAGCTTTTCTTCTTGCCTCTCTGTAAACAATATAATCACAACTGGAATATTGTTAATATCTTTCTCTAGGAAACTATACAAAAACAATAGTAACACCAGTTACAACTATTTACTGACTGTACAAGCAGTGTGTGGCTGATGTGGATTCAAGCACATGACATGCACAATCTAACACAGTCCCAGGGTCTAGCACAGTGTCTCAACATGCCAACCCGCCAACTCAAGCGCCATCAGCATTCCACATGGGAGCTGGTTCGTGTGCCAGCTACCCCACTTCCTATTCAGCTCCTTGCTTGACTGGAAGACAAAGGAGGATGCCCCAAGTCCTAGAGACCCTAGACCCACATAGGAGATTCGGAAGAAGCTCCAGGCTCCTGTCTTCAGATTGGCTCAGCTCAGCCATTGTTGCCATTTGGGGAGTGAACCAGCAGATGAAAGACCTCTCTGACTTCTCTCTGTACACCTGCCTTTCAAGTAAAAATAAAAAAGAGATAGAAAGAACACAGCCTGTGAGTTTAACATCTAAGAGCTGAGAGCCAGTAAGGCTGTACTGACCAGTGACATGACGCTGCTCCACTCTATTTGCCTAAGAGAGCTGCTAAAGAGACACTCCTCTTCCTCACCCCTGCTGGGGCCCCAGGCTGCATGACTCCTTTTGCACACACTGGAAGGACACCTGATGTCTGCTGCATGTAAATAAAGATAAGGAACAGAGGATAAACTGACCCCTAGTTGTTCTCTCTAGTGAATGGTGACCAGAACCTTACAAACCATGGCTATTCCCACTGTCTACTGCTTCAGGGGAAGCCAACGTGTGTGCGTAAGCAGAAGACAGGTAAAGCAGGACTTGGACACATTTTAAAATATGCGTATTTTCAAAAGCAACTGATGATTTTTAACAGACACAAGTGGCACTACATCGTTTCTACTGTTGAAACACTTTCTGTGGTAAGGTGACAATGCTCATTTACCCAGCTGATTCAAGCCAAAATTTCCCCATTTTCCTCCTTAATTCACAATATAGGATATTCAAACTTCATAAAAAAAAAAACTTGTGTCTAGTAACCTTTACATAATACCTCAACTCCACCGTGTGAAAAGGTAAGAAAGAAACCTGGCATGATAGCCTAGTGGCTAAATCCTGGCCTTGCATTCACTGGGATCCCATATGGGCGCTGGTTCTAATTCCAGCAGCCCCACCTCCCATCCAGCTGCCTGCTTGTGGCCTGGGAAAACAGTTGAGGACGGCCCAAAGCCTTGGGAACTTACACCCTTGTGGGAGACCCTGGAAAATTTCCTGGCTCCTGGCTTCAAATCGGCTCAGCTATGGCCATTGCGGTGACTTGGGAGTGAATCAGAGGATGAAAGATCTTTCTGTCTCTCCTCTTTCTATATCCTTTCCAATAAAAATAAGTAAATCTTTTAATTTAAAGGTAACAAAGGCAATGACTACAACTAGTCCCATTATGATAGAAAATGGACAAAGAATATTAATACACACTTTAGAAAAAGAAATTACAGCAACCTAAATCACGGTCAACCTTGGCCACAAGAAAATAAAACTCAAACTTCACTGAAAAACTATTCTTCACCTATCAAGTAAGCAAAATCTTCAATCTGGCATGACACACTCACAGGAGCTCTGTCAGTGCGTGCAAGTAGGAACACAAATGGCACAATGCTGTTTGGTTTTAATTAATTCGCTTATTTGAAGGGAAAGATACACACTAAGACTGTGATGGAGATCTTCCTCCCACTGGTCCAAACCCAAACAGTGCTGGCAAGTCAAAGCGAGCACTCCACTCCAGCATCCCAGGTGGTAATCTGTCGATGTGCTTCCTCAAATGTAAGCATAAAGCCAATAACCAAAACAGAATTTGCAGCAGCAGCAGACAGAAAACAATCTACACGTTCATCCACTGGGATTTGGTTAAATAAACCAAAGTACACACATAACATATCTATGCTAGCTGAGTCCATCAACAGATTATTGCTGAGAGAAATAATTGCACAAAACTATTTTACAGTA